ATTTATAGTTTGAAAAATAATTATTGTATTGGAACTGAGTTTAAAAAGTTTGTACGCATATGAATGTATAAAAAAGCCCTCAAACAAGTAATACATTACTTATGAAAATGTCAAACAAATAATTATTCTATTCAGAAAGACATAATAACTGATAAAATCCATTTTTACACTTGTCAAAATTGGTGATGCGTTAATCATAAAATGTAGATGATGGAGTATTTTTGCGATTGGCTGAACATTTATGAAGATTTTCTGAAGATAATTCACAAGAACTAATAAATGAATAGTTTTATATTAACAAGAAGGAATGCAGTGATGAGGATTCGCACTTGCTGTGTGATGATTGGAATATTGAAGTAAATATTTTTATGAAGAAACAAGATATTTTTTGGGCTGAAAGGTGATACATTGAACGTCCATGGCAGAACCGGTGTGTGAACATAATAGCAGATCTATTCCATGCGCCCCTAGGGGAAGGAGAGGCAGCAGTGGGAGTGGGAACGGTAGGGTCGTCGGAGGCCATAATGCTGGCTGGGTTGGCTTTCAAGAGGAAGTGGCAGAACAGGATGAAAGAGCAGGGCAAACCCTACGACAAGCCCAACATCGTTACCGGTGCCAACGTTCAGGTAGCTTTTTTCTTTTTTAAATATATTTTTTGAAGAGAAGATAATGAAAACTCTTACAAAATTCTATTTTTAAGTTCTAGAAATTTAGTTATTTTCTTAAAATCATTACTATAATTTATCAAATTAAAACCAGATTTCAGGCGATGGATGAATGCTAATTTGTATTTTTATATATTTATATTCTTTATATATATATATATATATATTTTTTTTTTTTTGCTTACAGAGAGAAAAAAAAATTTCTTCTTAAAAAGGTCTCAAGCATGACTAGAGCAGCTTTTGCAGAATAATATCTGAAGTAAAACAGAATTACCTTGTTGCAAGGCACTAACTCTTAGTTACCTTTAACCGTATTTAGGTGTGCTGGGAGAAATTTGCGAGGTACTTTGAAGTGGAGTTGAAGGAAGTGAAGCTGAGGGAAGGCTACTATGTTATGGATCCTAAACTGGCCGTGGAAATGGTGGACGAGAACACAATCTGCGTCGCTGCTATTCTTGGTTCCACCCTTAATGGAGAGTTTGAGGACGTCAAGCTCTTAAACGACCTCTTGACGGAGAAGAACAAAGAAACAGGGTAAAAGAAATAAACAAAATTATGTATACATACATTACATTTTCAGCTTTCTCTTCCACCTGTTTTACTCTTTCAATTTACTTTGAGATATTTTGCAGCTGGGACACCCCAATTCACGTGGATGCAGCAAGCGGCGGTTTCATTGCACCTTTCATTTACCCAGACCTGGAGTGGGATTTCAGGCTGCCCCTTGTGAAGAGTATTAACGTTAGCGGCCACAAGTATGGGCTTGTCTATGCTGGCATTGGGTGGTGCATTTGGAGGAGCAAGGAGACTTGCCAGACGAGCTCATCTTCCACATCAACTACCTTGGCGCCGATCAACCCACCTTTACCCTCAACTTCTCCAAAGGTCAATGCTGCTCTCTTCTCTTCTTCAGACACCTGCTGTTCATTGTCATTATGTTCTCTCTTATGTATATATTAACTGGCTTTTGAATTGCAGGTTCTAGTCAAGTAATTGCTCAATACTACCAACTCATTCGCTTGGGTTTTGAGGTACGTTGACCAAGTATTCTCCTAATTACATAGAGTTACATGTTCTAAAGTTATGACATTTGTTAGATTACAATTGGTCATGCTTTTTAAATTAGTTACCCTTAAGTTGTCCTATCAAATCCCTTTATTAGAGTCACCCTCAATATGCACACTGCATGCAGGAACCGATTTATAGATAGACATGGGGTGTTTGTCCCCCACCGTTAAAAAAAAAAAAAAATACAATTTACCCCCTCCATATTTTAGTTTTTTTTATAAAATTCACCATCTAGTAATTCAATTTTAGATCCATCTCTGTATGCATCCTATCAGTTTTGCACTCATCCACAGTGTTATGCTCAATGCGTATATAGCATCAGCTTTCGTAATTCAAGTAGATCATTTAAAAGTTTTCTTTGTGTGTATAGGAATCATCTTAATTTATTTTCCTTAGTCTATCCACAATAGACACGTCTTTATCATCTCATGCATCAACTATTTCTTCATACAGGTTAATATGCCCATTTCAAGTAAATTGTTAGCCCATTTCATCTAGATTCATTAACATGAGTCCCGCATAACACCCCCATCTGTTGGGGTTTGTCTGGTAGCGTTTTCGGGGAGGAATTTTAAGTTTAACCGTAGAAGTTAAGATTATGAATTTCGGTTTCTCAAGAGGTCCGGGACTTTTTAACTAAAAAAATTGTTACTTTTTCTATCAGTTTTTCAAAGTTTCAAAATTGCTTTTTATAAAAACAAATTTACAAATTTTATTTTTTAATGAAAAAACTTGGAATTAAATTAGTTGAATTTCCAGTAAGATTTCAAATATAAAGAATAGTCTAAGTTTTTTACTAAATTCGCTAGATCTTGAGTTAAAAAAGTTATGGAAAAAAGTCGAAATTACAAATATTAAACACCTGCTTTTTAAAATTCTACTGTAATTAAGGACTACTGCCCGAGAACGATGGAGAAAATCTTTACACGTTGAAAGTATTTCTTAATCTAATTAACTCTCTTTCTTGGGGATGGACATGTACATTAACAGGGGTACAAGAACATAATGGAGAACTGCCAACAGAACGCCATGATACTCAAGGAAGGACTCGAGAAGGACAGGGAGATTCAACATAGTCTCCAAGGACAACGGCGTTCCGCTGGTGGCCTTCTCCCTCAAGGACAACAGCGCCCACAACGAGTTCGAGATCTCCGACATGCTCCGCCGCTTCGGCTGGATCGTGCCGGCCTACACCATGCCCCCCGATGCCCAGCACATCACGGTGCTCCGCGTGGTCATCCGCGAAGACTTCTCCTGCACACTGGCCGAGCGCCTTGTCAACGACATCCAGAAGGTCCTGATCGAGCTCGACACATTGCCCGCCCGCCAGGCGGCCAAGCTCGCGGCTACTGAGGATTTGGGCGACAAGCTTGTTGTGAAGAAGACCGACCTAGAGTTGACGAAGGAGATCACCGACGTCTGGAAGAAGTTTGTGTCGCAAAGGAAGAGGACCAATGGAGTGTGCTGAAGGGGAAGGGTAAGGTAAGGTGTTTGGCTAGTAATATTTTTCTCTGTCATGTTTGAATCATTGCCACTAATTTTTGATGAACTTAGACACTGGACATCCAGTTATTTGGGTAGAAAAGAGTGTAGTTATCGTGGAGGAGATGCTTGTTGTGATGTTTTCGCCTGCAAGCTGCGGCCTCTTTGTTTTCTTTCTTTCTCTTTTTTTTTTTTTTTTTTGCATGAGAATTTTTAGCCAGAATACCTAATTTTTGAAAATGGTCTAAAGTTGGGCCTGGAACTTGAATTATCAAATTATCTATTGACATGTTCAAACTTTTTAAATTGTTCAGAAATAAAAATTATCTTATATAAATTACTTAATTAGTTTAAACAGAACAAAATATTAGGTTAAATAAGGCTTAAGTAACTAATTAAGACCTGGGAGGTGGTTGGTACCACGAGACGAGTTATTGGGTTTATTAGGCTTCTGGTCTCATAACCTATTTGGTACATTCGACTTATCAAATGTCAATGTGGAGCAATAAGTTTAAAAAAGCCGGACTGTTTTACTGTCTTCTATTTTCATTTTTTATATTTTATTTTTAATAAAAATAAAAAATAATGTTGAAAATACATTTAATTTGAATGTTTCCTATTTTCATCAAAAATAACTTCTAAAAAATGAGCTGAAAATTTAAACATATAAAAAAGTTGTTTTCAGTTTTTACTTTAGAAAATTTTGGATAAAAAGTACCAAAAATAGAAAATATTAAAATTAAAACAAATTGTTATGACCCTAAAATCTAAATTAATTAATTAATCAAGTAAAGGGGGGGCTAAATCAAATCAAAAGATTTGGGGCCGAATCAAATATTAGAAGGGACTAAATCGAAGGAAAAATGAGTAGTGAGGGCTTGATTTGGACCCAAAAAAAAAAAACTACAAATTGGCCACTGACTGAGTGATTGACCCACGTCGCCAATCTCAGCTGATTTCTCAGTTTTTGTCGTACACTTTCAGCCTATTTAGTCAAATGCACGCAAGCCCCAGGTGATTGGCTGCAATCGTGTGAGAACGAGAGAGAGATTAAGTTTGAGAAGCCAGCAGTTCTTCCGGATCTTCTTTTGATTTTTTGGGCTTTTGATCGAGGATTTGTCGGATCTTTTAGCTTCATGGGGCTCGCCTGGCTTGGGTTTCCAATTTTCAAGCATTGTTGGATTGAGGTAAGTCAGTTATTTTGAGTTTTTTGCTTGTTTTGGGGCTCGACGGTGGTCTGCAGGCACCCGGGTCTGAAACTCGAGTTGCCGAGTGAGGAAAACAAGACCTGGAAGGGTCCGGGTCTTGTCTCAGCTGGGTTGGGCCGGTTTGGGCCCGGCCCGGCCTTATTGGGAGGGTGGTGACGGGCTTGGGCTGCGGGCTGGCCCAGGCTGGATAGGCCTGAGACTGGGTTGAGTTGACTTTCTTGTGTTTTAAAGGAGGACGAGTCAACCCATCTAGGTTGACTCAAGGAGGAATTGGATTATGCTATCCTGAGGATAGACCCAACCAGAATAGGAAGAGATTGGAATAGCAGGATTAGATAAATTAAAATTTATTAATTAAATAATAAGAGTTAGGTTTCTGGGCAAGTGAACTGGTTAGGGTTGACTGAAAGTTTGACCGGCCGGTTCGAGGCATTTTAGGCCGGTTCTTTAGATAATTGGATTGGTTCCTGATCTAGTGGGATGAAAGTGATCAGATCAGATGGTTTTGAGAAATTTTGGATGGTCGACTCAAGGTGAACTAGCCAGTTTAGTGTAACACCCTTTGGGTTGTCGGTTCACAGGCTTTTAAGCTGGTTCTTGGAGAAGTTGAACCGTTTCTAGTTCGACATGATGAAACTTAGCCAACCATGTGATTTGCTGATTTTTGGGTGGCTGGTTTAAGGTGAACCGGGCTCAGTTCGTGTGCCGGTACTTAGGATTAGGGTCCTTGGCCCAGTTCAAGGTTGGTTTAGGGCCTTTTTGCTAGTTCAGGCCAGTTCCTAGGGTTTTGGAGCCTTCTAAATCTGTTTTTAAGGGTTTCATGGCTAATCTAACTGAGTTTGAAATATTTTTAGGCCGAGTTAGGTCAATTTAAGAGTTTTGGAGGCCGGTTCACTATAGTTTACGGATTATGGAGGCCGGTTCCTTATTGTTGAGGGTTGTTGAGCTAAAGTGTTGAGTGTTAGTGAGTTGTGTGGGTCCCAATGATAGGTAGTGGTGCCTCGAGATACGTGCCAGGGTGCGAGGATGGGATTTGAGCTAGTTATGGGCTGCTGAGCCTGTTTCTTATACTGGTTTTGGTGTTGGTGATGGTTTTGTGTGGTTTTAATTTCAGATCCACTTGTGCAGGAGCACCCAGCCGTTGAGTGGTTGAGGCAACTCGAGGCTTCTTTTGGACTCGGGCTGTACAGTGAGTGATGATACTCTTTCTGTGCATGTGTTTTCATACTTGCTTTCTTGGCATGATGACTTCATTGATTTTATGAATGGTATTTGTTACATAAACCTCAGGATATGTGTTATGTGTTTTATTATTGTTCAGTGAGCTATAATGGTATGCGATACTGGTTTTGAGATTCATAGACTGTTCATGTTTGTGTATCTGTTTTGGATTGATATGTGGAAAGTCGGGTGATGTATTGAGACCATTTACTCTAGTCATGAGATGAAGGATGTCTCTCGATCAGGAACATGGTATGGTTACCCTGGTGGGCATGTAGTTTCAGTCGTGAGATGGAGGATGTCTCTCAATCGGGAGCTTGGTATGTGACTGTGTTGGGCCTAATTGTGAGACGGAGGATTCTTCCGATCGAGACTAGAGTCTCAGTGATCATTATACTCCTACATATGTGTGTGTGTGTGATGATGTTGGTATTGTTCATTGTATACATGTATGTATATGTATGGTTTTGGACCTATAACGTGCTGTATATTCTAACATGCATAAACTAGGTATCAGTTGTACTCACTGAGTCTAGCGACTCACTATTTATAAACTTTTCAGATTTGGATTGTTGTTCTCGAATAGTGTGCCAGAGTCGAGGTGGTTGTTTGCAACTTTGTTTAATGTACGGGCATATTTTTTTGTTTATTTACTTTTGTACTCTAGTGCTCCCCTTATTACTCAAACAAGATTTCAGTTTTGTACTTGAATGTTTTGAGATGTTTATTCATGTTTTGGTTGGTTTTAAGTATGATTTTGTTGTTGTGTAACTGACTAGGATTGGGGATTTTAGTGCCAATCATGAGCCCACGGTTTGGGCCGTGACACAAACACATTTTTTAAATTTAAAAATCTAAAAGTAAAAATATTTTTAAAAATGAAAAAAAAATATTTTTTTTGAAACCAAGCAGGCCCCATTGGGATTGTTGGCCATTGGTTTCTTCTACTCTCAACTCATGACATTTTGCTGTTTCCGTGACAAGAATTCTTTGATTTGGCCTACCATATTGATC